GAAGGAAGGAAGGAAGGAAGGAAGGAAGGAAGGAAGGAAGGAAGGAAGGAAGGAAGGAAGTTTGTTCAAGCAAATAGTAAAAATTGTACAGCACCACCTCTAAAAAGTCTCCTGTTGACTATAGCCTGCCACTTATTCTGAAATGGAATTAAATTAGTAAATAGAAATGTAGAACATTTACTTAAATAATTACTTATCAAAAACGAATTTTAGTATATGTTATAGATATCGTAGGAGACATGCATTTGAAAATATACTCACCTTTAGCCAGATGTGGTGGCACAGGCCTTTAATCCCAGTACTTGGGAGACAGAGGCAGGTGGATCTCTGTGAGTTCAAGGCCAGCCTGGTCCACAAAGAGAGTTCCAGGACAGCCAGAGCTACACAGAGAAACCCTGTCTTGAAAAATCAAAGAAAGAAAAAGAGAAAAGAAAATATACTCACTTGGTCTGAAATTCATATTTATCTGAGTATATTGTATCTGATCCCGTAACCATACTGTCAGACTTTAAACTCCAGGGAAGTCTTTCTGGGATCTGGAACTAGTTGAACACTAGAGGTGAAGGGTTGCAGAGGGATAAGTCACACATAGGTATGACCACGTTCTCGCTGAACCTTGCTTTGCTGTTATGAGAACAGACTCTTGAGCAGTTTGTGGACATGAGCATGGGCTCCCTTCATCACCTTGCTTATCTGGGTACAGCCATTGCTTTATCGCTGGCCAGCCTTCCCTTCTTCCCCTACAGCCTGCGTGTGATCATCGTCTGCGCCCTGGCCAGGAGGAGTTACTTACCCTGAAGACCATCCTGTTGCCACTAACACTCACCACTGCCTGACACAGACTTGATCTTCACATTTATAGCTCTTGCTTGACCATTAGCCAGCATCTCCTCGGCTTCCCGGTGTCATCTGTTTGTAGTACTTTGTGTTCCATCAATTGCTTTGACTTCCCCGTCATGAACTAACTCTCGCCTCACCGTGCCATACAGCTGACTATCATCCCCCCCACCCCCCCTCCCAGGTCCGTTAAATGCACAAAGCACAACTGGAAGTTAGATGTGAGCACCATGAAGTACATCAACCCTCCAGGGAGCTTCTGTCAGGACGAGCTGGGTAATCCCTCACCCATACTTGCTGCCACAGGGGGGTGGGGGAGGGGAGACTTTGGCGGCTTTGTCCTGATGGCTTCCAATCTCCAAATTCTGGATCTGTTCTGCTTTGAAACTGCTAGACCTACATGACTGATTGATAGTTTGTTTGAGACAAGGCCTTGTTTTCTCATGTACTGACCATTTACATTTCTTCTTTGGAGAATTGCCTCCTCCTTTCGCTAGCTCATTTCTTGAGTGGGTCCTTGGTTTCTCACTGCTTAGCTTTTTTGGTTCTTTGTATATTCTAGGTATGACCCCTCTGCCAGATGTCTAGTGAACGAATGTAGTCTCCTAGTCTGTGGGCTTTCTTCACCGAATTGCTCCATTTGCTGGGCAGAAGCTTGTTAATGTCATGAAGTCCTAGTTGTCCATTGTTGGTGCTAGTTCCTGAGAGACTGGAGTCCTGTTCAGAAACTTCACACCCTGCCCATCTATGTTTTGAACTCTTTCCCCATTCTTTCCCCCAGCAGAGTCACTGGTTCGGATCCTGTAGTAAGGCATTTGATCCTTTTGGGCTCATTTTCATTAGGGTAAGAGATGGCGACAGGTTTCTTTCTTGCATATGTAGGTATCCAGTTTTACCTGCACGATTTATTAAAGAGATTTTCTTTTCTCTAATGTATATTTTTGGCATCTTTGTCAAAAAATGAAATGCCTCTAGCTAAGTGGATTTATATGAGTTCTTCCTTCTGACCCATTGATTTATGTGTTTGTTTTTGTACCATCCTGCTTTTTCTTACCATGGCTCTGTGGAAACTTTGTACTACTTTTATTAAATTCATTCATAAGTATTTTATTCTTTTTGATCATCCTATAAACATAATTTTAGGATTGCTTATTGCTATGTATAGAAATAGTGACTTTCATATTGATCATGTACTACAAGCTTCCTGAACTCACTTATTAATCCCATAATTCCTTGTTAGATATATTAGACGTTTTGTATTTAGGATCATGTCCTCTATGGATACAGATAGCCTGACTTCTTTCTAATTTGTGTGTCTTTTATTTTATTTTCTTGTGTAGTTGCTTTATCGAAAGCCTCCAGGCAGAAATGGCAAGAGAAAAGCTTCCCGGCTCTGCTTCTGCTCTCACAGTGACAGCAGCAGCTGTGTGTTTCTCAGCGGTCCTTTTTCAAGTTGAGGACCCCTTGGCTATTCTTTGTCTCCTAACAGTATCTTCTCACTCATGAAAGGATGTTGTAGTTTGTCAAATATCTCTTCTGTATTCATTGAGATGCTCATATAGTTCCCCCTCTCCTTCTGCCAATGTGATGTAGCCCACTGGTTTGTGAATATTGAATCATTACTGTATTTTTCAAATATTGAACCAGTCTAGCATAGAGCTCACTTGGTTATGTGTGATTCTGTTTCAGACCGCCTAGGTCAGTAGTAATACCTTGATACCAAAACCAGACAAGCATACTGCAAGAAAAGAAAACTAGGGCTTGTCCTTGGGAATTATTTAATTACTTTTCTTATTGTTGTGACCGAATTCCTGACAAGGAGCAGTTTAAGAGAGGAGAGGTTTCTTTTGGCTCATAGTTGAAGAGGACATGTAACAGATCTTCGTGAATTCTGAGCTTTCCTATGCTGCCATCCTTCTGCATGACGTCACTCATCATGTTGCCTGCCTGTGGTGTATTTCTCATGTCTGTCAGTCATCTCTCAAGTCTAACTTGAGTGACTTGAAGCTACTTCCTAGTTCTACTTCTTTTGGCTTTTGTCATCGGGTTAGGAGTTCCTTCCTTTGCCCTCTCTCAGCACTGTGACCCTCTCTCTTTCGCTGGTTCCATCACCCTGCCGTTGTGTGGATGTGTAAAGCATGCCTGAGATCTCTTGAGTGGCTTAAGTATAGCATGAATAAGGAAGTAGACATCATCCGAAGCTGTTGTCTTGGTAGGTGTTATGCCAACAGTGAGTGTTCTCCTCTGTTGTGAGTGTGATTTTTGACCCTCTGTACTTGGACTATATGTTTCTATTTCAGTGATACTTTCAAAAATGTCATTTTATCACTTGCTCAGACTTATTTCCCTTTGTTTCTAGTTGTCGAAATGGATGAAAACAATGGGCTATTGCTTATAGAACTGAACCCTCCTAACCCTTGGGACTCTGATCCCAGGTCTCCTGAAGAGTTGGCTTTTGGGGAAGTACAGGTAAGGAAATATTAAAATTATAATATTCCTCACAACAAAATAAAACTAAGACCTCATTCATACATTTATTTGCATATCTTCACAACTATATTCATATATGTAGAGAGAGAAATTGTATATGTATACACAAACACACATACATACACAGACCTACAGAAATGGTGTTTTAGAGGAGGTTTCAATGAAGAGCCATGTCAAACTGTTGGAAGAAGTTCAGGCACCACGCTTAGTATCTGAACATTTTTGGACAAGATGGAATATTAGTCAGTGCTTTGATGATAAAATGCCTGGAACTAAGAACTTTATGAAGAAAAGAGGTTAATTTAACCCATAGTTTGAGAGCTTCAAAAGCATGGTGTTTGCATGTGCCCAGCTCTGGTGATGAATGGACTCACAATGGCAGAAGTGTCCATGACAGTGGCATGTCACACAAGGACTGGAGGGAGGGGCCAGTCCCCTCATGGAAACTTATTCTTGGGAGACTGGCCAACCCTGAGATCCTGTGGTCCTGCAAGAACTACATTGAGCTCTTCTAAAATCTCTGCCCCTATTGAATTAACTACCTTACAGCAGGTTCCACCTCTTCAAGACCCCATGCATGCTCAACATCCCCACCCTTGGCACCAAGTACATAAACCTTGGGGGAATAAACTGCATTCCCACTGCGGCAGATAACAAGTTGTATATTTTTGCACCTCACCCTGAGATCTTTGCAAGTTTTTTATGCATTTTCTATCCTCAGAACATGTTCCTTTAAAAGAAATACTTCAGAAGTTTGGGGTAGACAAACAAGCAAAATTTATATATATAATTTCCTGTATGTTTAGGAAGCTGTGTGCATTTGGGCAGCTTTTTGTCTTTTGTTTGGTTGGTTTGGTTTGGTTTTGCTTTGTTTGGAATGAATGAGACTTCCCTCAGGAGTAATCAAAAGGAATTTGATTCCTGGCTGTTCCTTGTCTCCTAGCTGGCTCTCCACACTAGAGTTCCTGTTTCCTTATCTCTGTTCCTCTATGTGTTCTTATCAGTGGGTGTGCCAGGCAGGGGGAAGCAAGAGGGGGAGGGATGAGTTCAGAATTCCACAACCTGTGCCAGTCTGGAAGCCATTGTTGATACCCATTCTCAGAGGCCCTTGGCACCCTGCGGGAGAGGGAAGAAGGTAATGTAGAGCAGAAAACCACCCAGCCCACTTAGCCTGATGTCAGGCCAGTCTGTCTAGCTGTGCCAACCCACCAAACCAATCAGGAATCACGTCATCAACACTCTTTGAAGCCACACTAGCATGTTAAGTCCCTCAGTGCTTGTCCTAACATCTCTTAAACAGCTCACCTTGGAAACAGCGCTTGGATTGGTCAGACAATAGCTAAACACATAGGATCTGGTTTCAGGAGCATAAAATCAGGTGCATCCATTGATTGGACACCAGGCACTTGAGGCTCTGTTCTGCCGGTCTGTGGAGGGGGTTGTAGTCTGCCAGTGCACAGCTGCAGCTGTAGCTGAGCCAGAGGTGGCCTGACCTTGTCAGAGAAACATCCCCAGCCTTGCACTCGCTTGCCACTGACCAGACCATAACAGGAATCTCACTCTCTTCTAACAGATAACATATCTCACTCACGCCTGCATGGACCTCAAGTTGGGAGACAAGCGGATGGTGTTTGACCCTTGGTTAATCGGCCCTGCTTTTGCCCGAGGATGGTGGTTACTCCACGAGCCCCCGTCTGACTGGCTGGAGAGGCTGTGCAAAGCAGATCTCATTTACATCAGCCACATGCACTCAGACCACCTGAGGTAATGGAACCAAGTACCCAACCCCTGAGATAACACAAAGGCTGAACTACAGGCATCAGTGAGATCTTTTGGGTTGTTGCTTGTTTCTCAGACAGGCTCTTCTGAAGTTCAGGCTGGCCTTGAACTCACTATGTAGCTGAGGATGCCCTTGAACTCCTTCCTGATCCTCGTACTTAGACTTCCAAATGCTAGGATTATAGACGTGTTCCACTGTACCCTGCTTACAAAAGGTTTTTAGATTCTTCTGCAATCACTGCCCACTCTGGTTTGCCCCATTAGGACTATGAAAAATAGGAGAAATAAAGGACATTTTTATACATGTACCACCATTCTAATTTTAAAAGTGCTCCACAGTTTATACAGACAGAAAGGAGGAAGGAGTCATTATGGAAAGCCGGGTGGTTGATAACCCCTTACAGACTTCTACTTTGTCCTAGTTGGAACATGAACAGGCATAAAGTCCATCAGAGTGACCTTCTTTTAGTTCAAACTTTATAGCACAAACCAACATATATTTTTTTTGTAAAGGCCAGTGTTCTCAGCATTTGAAAAGCTGAGTCAGGAGGATCAGGAACTCAATGCCAGTGTGGGCTACATAGCAATACTGCCTCAAAAATGACAAACAGGTTCTCTTTTTTTATAAACGACCAACTGAATACTTTGGGTTTTGTAAGCCATAGAACACATATTGAACCAGAAGAGCCACAGGAAGTCACAAATGAGAGTAGGAACTAATATCCCAATAAAACTTTACTGATGGATATAATTTCCATGTGTCATAAAATATTATTGCTTTTATCTTACATTATCTCGTGAGGCTGTGTAAGAAGCAGGGAGAAGTCCGGCTCTTGCGCTGGTTTGCCAAGCCCTTGTTGTTGGTTGGGGCAGCGCCTTGTATGCACTCAGGCTGGTCTGGATCCTTCTGTCTTAGCCTCCATGTGCCAGAGTTGCTGTGCTTCACACTGTTGTGACCTGCTTTGTACCATCGCCACAGTGTTCTCAAATGCCTAATCCCAAGTTAGCCCCAGCCAGCACTCCTGTGAATCTGGTATGGTGCTAATGATCCACAGGACAGGTCCTGAATCCGGACAACCAGAAAGGATGATGAAAGCAGAACCTTCAGTTCAGGAGTTACACTTAAAAAAAAAAAAAACACACACAGCAAAAACAACTCTTCTTTTTTAATGAACAAATTATCAGAAGAAGGCAGGTCATGTCTTCACTGTGTTTACTTATGGACTGTGTCCATTTTTAAGCTGTTGGGAAGCTTCTGACCCCTTTTTCTTAGTCACTAATGAACAAATTATCAGAAGAAGGCAGGTCATATCTTCACTGTGTTTACTTATGGACTGTGTCCATTTTTAAGCTGTTGGGAAGCTTCTGACCCCTTTTTCTTAGTCACTAATATTAAACATAGTGATGACGGCAATGTTCTCAAGCACTTTCACTTTTTTGTCTTCCTGTGACCCTGTATGATAAAGTGTATGCCCGATGTACTTTGCTAGAATGTCTCTGATAACGATAAAACGTTGGATGTTCGTTGGCTGACCCCTAAAGGATGTGGAACTGGAAATTGCTATACTTACATATGTTGTTTAAAGGAAGTGGTTTAAATTTTGAATGAACTGAATTAGTGATTAACAAACTGCTTACACCTCACTTCTTAACTGTCTAGCTCCTTGAGAGACCACAGAACTACAAAAAAAGCTTTCCTCTTTCGTTGCAATACTTTTGTCCTTAACCAGTTCCTGGAACTAAACTTGTCTAATTAGAGGCTTGTGGAAGCCCTGGGTACACATTTTTGTAATAACCGCCGTGTATGCTGATAATTTTGTATAGCTTGTTACATTAAATAAGAATGACAGTGGCATGTAAATGATGTGATTGCATTATACATCATTTACAATTGCCCAGATCTTAAAGAGAGGCATTTGTGGGGGACCAGCCCCTACTTTTACCTAGGTACTATTGAGGAGTGAGGGATAAGAGATTTAGATAGAAATACAGAGGGGAGAGAGAAAGACAGAAACACAGGATAGCCTCGGGAGGGCCCGGATCCTTATCCACTAGCCCAACACTTTATTCAAAAGGGGTTTTTATAACAATACCAATGGGCAAGGCAAAAGACCTCCTCCCCCTTGCTAGATGCAGCCAAGTGCAGACCCTTCCAAACCCCTGGTACCCAGGCCGGTGATCCAATGCATCCTCTTATGCAGTCCTGCTGGGTAAAGCAAGCTCAGATCTCACTAGGAAACCTCGGTGGGCTCCCACAGGCATTCTATCAGACAACACTGGATTAGGGGTAGGGTAGGAATAAGAACTTTAAATGTCATTTGGTCAAATAACTCTCTAGCCTTTGGCCTGAAGGGCCAACTGAGGGCCAGTGTCAGGGCCTCCTGAGGCAAAGTTGTTACACGCTAAGGACAGGGTCCTAACCACCAACTGCGTAACGATCAGCTGAGTGTTTGCCACTGGAAAACTACTGAGACTGGTGAGTTTTCCTCTTTCAGTCCATCTCCTTGGCAAACGCTTCTCGTTTTGATTTTTTCCTGGTCAATTAATAACCACTGAGGTCGTTTACCCCAATCCTACTCTCTGACCTTTACTTTTTGAATAACATTTTCCTGGATTAGAAAAAAGAGGGAGAAAACAGTGTGATGTAGCAGATAGTGTTAAAAGCAATGTATTTTCATAGCGTCAGTAGAGTACTGTTACATGATATTAGTAGATAAGGGTAAGAATTATCATCAGTTAGAAAACCACTGTATTATTAAACTAACCCTATAACTAACCCCAACCCTAACCCTCTAACCCTAACCCTAACCCTCTAACCCTAACCCTAACCCTAAACCTCTAACCCGAACCATAACCCTCTAACCCTAACCCTCTAACCCTAACACTAACCCTCTAACCCTAAACCTCTAACCCTAACCCTAACCCTCTAACCCCAACCCTAACCCTCTAACCCTAACCCTAACCCTCTAACCCTAACCCTCTAACCCTAACCCTAACCCTCTAACCCTAACCCTAACCCTCTAACCCTAACCCTAACCCTCTAACCCTAACCCTAACCCTAACCCTCTAACCCCAACCCTAACCCTCTAACATCTAACCCTAACCCTCTAACTCTAACCCTAACCCTCTAACAGCCAGCAGTTTCTGTTGTTTTGGTAAAACACCGTGATTAAGAAAACTTACAGAAGAAACAGTTGATTTGAGCTTT